CAGTTTTCTCCCTTTTCCATCTCTCTGTTACACTATCCTTATCTCCCTCTGCCTCCCCCCCCCCACTGGTTAGAAAAATATTTTTCAACCAACCTCTGCCAAACGGCACTACAACTCTTTGACGCTGAGAGAACCAGTTTTATACGAGGCCAAAACTTTTAACGGATATGATCTTCATCGTGCAACGTACCTAAGTGGCTCAACTCCATCGAGACAACAAAGTATTTATATAGACATGATCCGATGGGAGAATCAAGCTGAAAGAAAAAAAACAGCATCAACTTTCGTAAGATTTGGAATACGACAAGCCATAGAGATCGATGCTTCCAGGCTAAATTAGATCAGGTGAGGTGGCATTGCGCAACGCAAATACGTTCCGCGAATAGTGGTGCATCTTGAAGACATCCCACCATTTCGCTTCTTCTAATGCACCAATGGTGCGCATCTCACAGCTCGCATGACCAACTTTGCCAATGTGAAATATCGAAATTCTTCCGTTGCAATGACTCCATATAGATATACGTTGGCACACTGTTTTGTCGTGTGAAATAATGTACGTGTGCCCTGATTCACCATCGTCCCACCATCTCGAGTCATCACCCGTGACAATTATTACTTCTCTCGCTTCCTGATTGAACAATGCCATTAATAATTTTCAAGTATTTTAATTAAACATGTGGTGAAACGACGCAGGATAATTGAGTCTGCTGTTCAATTGGTTGATACACTCGGTGCGGAATAACGAATGCATCGGGCCAAAGGGTGAAAAAAGAATGCACCATAGGTAATCCATTTTTGTCGGCCTATTTGATTGAAACAGACAAATCGATTCTGAACGAATGCAACAATTTGTTGAATCAATACTAGGGATGACTATTCAAAACGAAATCCTTCGATTCAATACACTTCAAGGGAGCAAAAAAATATATTCTCATCCATTTGCGTTTCAATTTTTGTTTCAACTAGCAATCTATGAACTCATCTCACCCATCGAAATTGAATAAAGGAAGAACTCCTGCGGATTGATTAATTTATTGGAATTTTTTTTGTGGTATTTCGTTATACCGAAGAATTCATGCGTGATGATTGGCAACTCGTGTTGAACAGGACTCTTTGTATCATTTGACCAGCATTATTTGCGAAATAAATTTAAACATTACTAAATTCGTGTATGAAAAAAACCGAAAGCATGAAATAATTCAGAGCATCTATATGTGTCGTATTGAAAGCGGAGTTTCAATAAACTCCATGATGCAATAGCCCAGTATCCAACATCTCGTTTGAGCGTCCCACGTTTGACGCGATACATCTGCACGAGTTAACGATTGCATAAAGGATCTTCTCAATACATTAAAAACGTACACGTAGAAAACCCCAACGAGCAATCGGCCTTTTTTGCCCCTTTCCGCGGTGAAGCGTGTGAGTGTACTTGTCACTGAGGATGATGATTCTTCAGACCATTCTCACAGCGGCATATCCCCCTGTCATCGTTTCGCGATCGCGAAATCTTTTCAAGAGTGAAAAATTGTTCACCGATAGTTGCGTACCACAGATGATCCTTTCATCCACCGAAAGGAGCACTCAGCCACGTTCTAATTTACATGTTAAAACGATGGGATACCACTGCCTCGAGTCTTCACCGAGTTTTGTGACATGCATTAATGACACAATGCGTAACACATTATCGATCGATTCGTTGTCCCCATTTGGCGAGATGAATTGTAAATTCCAGGTGAATATCGGAATATGAGATAAAATGCTGGAGAAATAATTTTCAATCAAGATAAAAACATCTGGCTCAATAAATTCAACGTTACGGATCTTATAAGCGTTTTGCAACAATTCCCATGTATTGGAGTGTGAAATGTATCCGGAGGTAAAATCGGAGCGGCAGACGTGGTGACTCGTTATCTCCGAGGATGCCACCAGGATTCGCTCGGCAATATGTTTCAGAAATGGCTGAATTCTCCCCCCCTACAGAGCCCTCCTACACAATCTTATGCCAATGTCTGCTTGGAAGATCCGCTAGACCGTCACCCGATGGGATAACGCCAGTGGCATAACGCGACCACGTCGATCTTACCACCGGTTAAATCTCACCCAGTTGCACTAAATCCATGATTTAGAATCTTGGATCGTCTTCGGGGATATATAAAGCGGATTAGAAGCAACGGGGTTTGTCATTCCCACGACACCGCTCACAGGTGGTGGGTGCATTTTATTCACTGTGTACGCGGTATAGTGCGCTGGAGCATTGAATTTGACACAGAGGAAGTTGACGAGATTTATAATAGTCCCCTTTACGGGGAGCCAACACCGGGAGGAGCTTTGTTATTCTTCTTCCTTTCTCATCGGATAATACTGGAAATCACAATCAGCATGTTTAAGGTGAGTTTTTAATCCTCGTTTGGTAATTGTTCTCATGCAGCTGATGAGTTATTCTGAGGATTTTATTTTATTTTTCAGTTAGCACTAGTAGCAATTATTTTAGCAGTCGCTCTAGCGCGACCGGAGCCTCCTGTCAATTCGTACTTACCACCGGGTGGTAATGGTGGTGGAGGGGGTGGGGGTGGGGGTGGGCCGTCGAGTCAGTACGGGCCACCCTCGGGGGGTGGTGGAGGATTTGGTGGACAGGGACAGGGATTCGGCCAGCAGGGAGGCCAGGGCGGCAGGCCGTCCGGTAGTTATGGTCCACCGGGTGCAGGTGGTGGTGGATTTGGTCAGCAGGGAGGACAGGGAGGTGGGTTTGGTCAGCAAGGGGGCCAAGGTGGACAGGGAGGACGACCCTCGAGTAGCTATGGTGCTCCTGGGGGTGGAGGTAATGGTATCGGTCAGCAGGGGGGATCGGGAGGGCAGGGAGGTAGACCTTCTAGTAGTTACGGGGCTCCTGGTGCCGGCGGTGGTGGATTCGGTCAACAGGGTGGACAGGGGGGACAGGGAGGGCGACCTTCAAGTAGTTACGGTGCACCTGGGTCAGGCGGGGGCGGTTTTGGCCAGCAAGGGGGACAGGGAGGCCAGGGAGGCAGACCTTCAAGTAGTTATGGTGCTCCTGGGTCAGGCGGAGGCGGATTTGGACAGCAAGGGGGACAGGGAGGCAGACCTTCCAGTAGTTATGGTGCTCCTGGGTCAGGCGGGGGTGGATTTGGTCAGCAGGGCGGACAGGGTGGAGGATTCGGACAGCAGAATACCTCACCACAAAGACCTTCAGATAGTTATGGACCTCCTGGCGCAGGCGGCGGAGGATTTGGACAGCAGGGCGGACAGGGTGGTGGATTTGGACAGCAGAATACCTCTCCACCGAGACCTTCAGATAGTTATGGACCTCCTGGTGCAGGCGGCGGAGGATTTGGACAGCAGGGCGGACAGGGCGGTGGATTTGGTCAGCAGGGAGGACAAGGTGGACGAGGACAGGGGGGACGACCTTCGAATAGTTACGGCGCACCCAATGCAGGCGGTAATGGATTCGGTCAGCAGGGGGGACAGGGGGGACAGGCAGGTTATCCAAGTGGCCCTGCTGGTCAGGGCGGATTTGGTGGACAGGGGGGTGGAGGAGGCGGTGGAAGGCCGTCTGGTAGTTACGGAGCTCCGGGAGCTGGCGGCAGTGGATTTGGAGGTAATTTTCAGTCTTCAGGTCATTCCGTGTTATGAGCGATGCTTTTTGAATATTTTACAGCTTATTAAACTGTTGCTGTCAAAACATTTCGAAATTCTTCGTTGTGAATCCTTCAGATAATTTGAAGAACGGGTGACACCTCTATTTTTCCACGGGGGAAGGGTATGATAATAAAATTGCATTTGCAATTTTCTGAATTGAAAATTGAAAAAATTATGGCGTAAACTACAGACCCATCTGACCCTGCTGATCGTGTGACGTAATATTTGAATGTCCCCTGTGGATTAATAGTATTGGGTAAGTGAATGATTACTATTGAATCCAATTATAGGTGGCAACAGCGGTTTCGGTGGCTCTCCACGACCTGGAGGTTCGGGGGGTGGAACTCCATCCGACAGTTACGCACCTCCTGCCGCTGGTGCTCCCGGTGATGGATATGCCTCAGGGGGCCCCAGTGGTGGCTCAAGTGGTTACGGCAGTGGTGGGCCAGGCGGTGAAGAGAGCAACGTAAGAATTTATAAACATAGTTGATTGTAAACTGAGGGAAAAATCGACAGAATATCACACGAATACTGTCTAAATAATGACAAAGAGACAGAGGGGCGTAGCAGCTCCGACGAAATTAATCGTAGGTTTCAGACACGGATTCAGTCCTCTTCGGGCTTCAGGGACAAGAGAAGTTTCAAAAAAGTGACAGTTTATTTCTTTTCTTCAAACTCATCGAGGCTGAGAGCAAGCGACGTTTATATTTCAGAAATATCTGGAGGTTTTCGTCTGTCTAAAATCTGTATTTAATCAATATAAAAGTCTCTGCCCTCATCGGATAGAATATATACGCGCGGACAATTATGTATTATGTATTTATATTAGAGATTTTAGTGATTTCCCCATCTTTTTGAACGAAGAAACCGATTTCTTGAGACAAGAAATTCTCTCTTTATCCTGACGTGTTCGCCTTTAAGTCATGAAAACTTCACCGAATTTTCCCACTGTCTGACTCATCATGTGAAGTTCTTATCCCAAGCGATTTATCCGCAAGATATTACACATTTGGCGCAAGGAATTAATTTGTCATATTATGGTCGATATTTCTCTCGGTGCACGGAGAGAAATGTTCAGGAAAAATTACGGAACTCACAATTCACTCGCCGATTACGGAATCGATTCAGAAAATTTCAGTGACGGTATCGTAATTTTTCACGGGAGAGTCAGATAAAAAGTACGGAACTTCCGGAAAAATTCCGTGACAGTTCCGTAAAATTTCCTCCAACCACATTTCGCTCCGGAAATACGGAAAAGATACGTAATTTTTATTGAATATTTCTCTCCGTGTGTAATACTAACCTGGGCACAGTTAGTCAACTATTGAAACCCTTTCGAGTATCCCAAGTTAGCATTTGGTTCGAAAATAAAAATTTGTCCCAGGAACCGGCCAAGTACGAATTCAACTACGAAGTTAAGGATGCTCAATCAGGCCTTGATTTCGGACAGACGGAGAGCCGTGATGGCGATCGAGCCCAGGGGATGTTCAATGTTCTGCTGCCAGATGGAAGGAAGCAGATTGTTGAGTACGAGGCGGATCAAGACGGGTTCAAACCGCAGATAAGATACGAGGGGGAGGCGAATGCCGGTGGCTACGGCTCGGGGGGGCCCGGAGGCGACTCGGGTTATCCATCTGGTGGACCTGGTAATTCCGGGGGACAAGGGGCAGGCAATTTCGGTGGTAGTGGAGGTGGTTATCCCTCGGGCGGTCCTGGAAGTAGCGGAGGTTTCGGCAGCGACAGTGGTATACTGCACTCATATTAGCGTCTCTCGAGCGATTAAATTATCGGAATAATAATAAACAAATATTTCTCAGGATATCCCTCTGGCCAGCCTGGCGCTGGCAGCGGTGGATTCGGTGGACAAAACGGCGGTGGAAATCAAGGATATCCATCTAATCAATCGGGTGGTGATTTTGGCGGTAATCAGGGTGGCTATCCATCGGGAAGTGGCGGTGATGCTGCTGCTAATGGTGGATATCAATACTAAACCTGTGGATAATTCAATGCTTGTAATTTACATCATAATATACGAACGACAAACGATTCACGATAGATCCCAGCTCGATATTGGCCTACGATACGAACAAAGTGATTTATGCAAAACGATACAATGCAAGAATTGAATATCGAGACTTGTCATTAGAGTGAAGCCCTGTAATGTCACAGAATGGTTTCTTCCGGTATTCGATTCATATTCATGCAATATTGACTCTGCAGACATCTACATATATATTATATTCATACCTTAGTTCATTGTCCCCGGCAATCATGTACATCATCCATTGTATGAATCCTATCGCTTAGTATTACAATTTAACGTTCTGCTCGATATTTTACATCCCATCAAACTGTGAAGTGTGTTATTTAATTATCATCCACGGCGACCTAGATTGCAATGTAGAATAAAATCGCAAACTGATTTTAACAAAGCTTCATTTTTTGATACCTCCTATCCCTCACTGAATATTTCTAATTTAATGGAACATGAAAGATTCCCCAATTGCCGTCTGCCTGATAATCAATTCTACTCTCGGGGAATTATTGAAGTATTCGAATAGAGCAACAATGATTGCTGAAGCCCCAGTAAATTGAGCGACGAAATTTCATGTATAATACAATGAAAGACTCTGCTGACAAATGCTGCGGTTTTGTTATTACCTTTTATTAATGGTTATACTTTTACATTATGTACACAGGCAAGACAGCAAATCACAGTATTTTAGTTTTCATTGGATTGCACGAGCAATCCCGGCATCGGGTATAAAGTCTTGCGCGCAGCTATCCTTTTATCTTAGTTTTGTGAAGACTGGAAAGACCGTACCAGGTCCCTCATGATTTCGAAGGTGAGTGTAAGCTTTTTGACGTTGACAATCTTTGAAAAATCCACAGAGAAAAAAAATTTTTAGGGACATGTCACTGATTTTTAGGAATTTAGCCCCGTTTATTAGGGATTCAGTGATTTTGTCACAAATTTTCAGTCACATCGTCACTCAATAACACTAATGTTCAGAGGAATATCTCTACTTTTGAGTTACCCATCTCTAATTTTTGGGAATCTACCGCCAAATTTCAGTGATAAAAATCACTGATAATTGGAGTCATTCTAATCAGTGCCCAACATCACCAATAATTGTTGATGAATTCATAAAAATCAGAACCATATCCCTGAGGATAAAAACTTTTTTTCTCCGCGTCGAAAATAGTTTTTTTAATCACTCTCTCCCTCTCTCTCTTTTTCTCTTTCTCTCTGGTTGGTTTTTCAATAGCAATAGTATGCCCGAGGGATTTCAACAAGGGCTTACGTATAAATCTGCTCTCAAAGCTTTTACGCTCATCAAATATTTACCGAAATCTCGGCAATTTCTGGCCCTATAAAATCAACTAATGCCAATAATATTTCTCGTAATCTTATTGATTTGCGTGTCACCACAAGCATTTTTACGGTACATTTGTCGGGTCAATTTATCCGATAAATTGCAGGTACTCCTCTTAGCAATGGTGCTGGCACGAGTCAGCAGTGTACCACAGGGACCGTCATATTTACCGCCCTCGGGGGCAGGAAGACCAGGAGGTACTGGTCATCCAGACGAATGGGCTGGGGTATTTATCATTCTTCTCATATTCCCCAATTTCTTCGTACACACGATATATCAAAATAATATTCACACAATTCTGCCGAAATTTATTTCAGGATCCAGTGAATTACGAGTACTCGTACGAAGTGCAGGATGCAGCTGCGGGCTTAGACTTTGGCCACCGTGAAATGCGAAAGGATGACGAGGCCAAAGGCTCTTATCACGTTTTGCTGCCAGATGGAAGAACACAAATTGTCGATTACATTGCCGATGCCGGTGGATATCGACCGATGATTCGATACGAGGGAACAGCCTCGTATCCAGCACCTGCTGGGGGTGGCGAGGGCTACAAATACTGATGGGAAGATATTTAGCGGAATACTTGAGCCTTTCTCGAATGCTTCAATCCATTTATTCATTCATTAGATTCTCACCGAATCATTCATCATCTAGGTGGTGACTAATTGAAAGGGAACAACAGAGAGAACCTGTGGTTTAACTATTTATAATCATCGTAATGTGGACCAAGTATTCTCCAAGAATTATTTATTATTCCATTTCATCCCCTTGTCCGAAAAATCTTTCGTTGGAATGGATGAAGCGCCTATCTTTAGCAACAGAGCTCACGTCATTTACATTATACTTGCAGCAGAATCCGTAAGAGATCGACACTTCATACCTTTCACTCAACGGACGGGTTCATCACCGTTTCACGCAGGAAACATTATTGAATATCTGTCGTACCGTCAAACCAACAATCATGGAATGAGTTTGACTAGCTCTTATGAAACCTGTCAATCAGCAATTAATGGCTTTTGTGATCGGTGTATTCGAAAATAGATAATCAAATCATTCAAATCAACTTATCCAATTGTATTTGTTTATTTTCATAGCAGTCCTCGGCTTCATTCAATACACTTCGGGTAAATTATATTTGCCAGGCAGCCACAAACTACTGCGGCTCCTGTCAGACCACACGCGAGCGGTTCAATCGCGCGGATGATCCATTAATTTAGGTGGATAAGCGTTGATTCGGTGTCAATAATTTTTCATAAAATCTATCTGCCGCTGATTATCGATTGTGAAAGAATGTCGAGGCGCACTGTGTGTCCTGTCGGGGTGATTTTTGTCACGACAGTGTTGACATGAATTCGCATCCAACAATTCTCGTGCATTTTTTAGGTACATGCATGTGCCATTGTCGGCGAAATCACGCGATAATAATTTTTCCAACTTGCTCCGAGGGCTCAGTTCAAGCTGGCACGTCGAGTGAGTGACTCAACTGGAGTAACAATTTTCAATATGAGACTTCTCCGGCCACGGAACGTAATCGAAGAGAGTTGGCCATCGATTTGCGCGACAAGAATTATCGGTTAGATATAACGATGTCATTAGCTGTCATCGATGTTATTATGTTTATGTACACCATATTCATCCTGGTAACTAAAACTTTCATTTTAGGATTACGTCCAGTCGTTATACGTCGAACAAAGTTGTTTGGTTATTTATACATTCTCATCTTCTGGATATTGTATTACACTATGGTGTACTTAACGGTGGATTACGCAAATGAGATATTTGCGGACTGGCGGACGGTCTCAAAATCAATGAGGATCAAGCCGGCTGAATTTATTATGAATATTCTATTCTGTAGTCTTACAGTCTGCAGCAGCGTATTTAATAGTATTAAGGAGGAAAACGCAAACTCTGTACTCAACAAGTTTGATGAAAAACTAAAACTACTCGACGTTAAATTCAATTACAAAACCTTCATGAAAGCTGAACTTGTACATGTCTTTGGAATTGGCTTATTTACTGTTTTAATGTCCCTCATTGAATACGCTAACTTACAAAGTGCAAGTAGAACAAATTTGTACGTTCTCATGTCTATTACAAATCAATTACCGCAGTTAGTAAACAGTTTCGCAATTGTGCCTTTCGTGATTATGTGCATGAAGGTCAGTAAACGAAGGGAGGTAATCAATTATTTGATTCCGACGATGAGTAATCAAGCTGGGAAGGTTCCTGGTAGTCTCTCGATCGACATGAACAACGGTAAAGGATCCTTTTCGAAACTACTCAAGTGAATCATGACACTTGTCCTTGACGATACTTTTCCCGTTGTAATCCATTTCTCTTTTCCTGTTGTTATGCTCCAGTTTTCAGGGTGAAGTTACTCAGCGAGGCCTATGGACTGCTGGTTCGTGTCGTTGCCACGATCAATGACACATACGCTTCGCTTCTTCTGATAAGCTTCAGCTTCTTCTGGGCTTGGATTTTTGTACATCTTCGTCTCGCTTATTTGGCGTATCAGGCGGGAAAACAACAAGCAGATTTATGTATGGAACTCTTGTGGGTGTTCTTTCTCCTCTGGAAGTGTACTTATATTATTGATACATGTCATTCCGGGAATTCTCAGGTAATTATGGGAAACATTGGCAAATAGAAGAAAATGTTCATGACAAAAGGTGTTCCTTTTTGTGTAATAAATAATTATCATTTTTTTAAATCAAAATCCTGACATCGCTGCTACAAACTCGGGTCTACAACTCGGGCCTTCAATTGAAAGCCCGAGTTGAAGCCCCGAGTTTGTAGCAAAGATGTCAGACAAGATATGAATGTTTTTTTGGGCTCAAACGAAAGAGCGGGTCGAGAAATGGCGTGCTAGGACCTCTAAAGATGGTTTTGAACCAGGGGAGACTCCTAGACCCCAATGTTCTATACATAATCCTAGACCCCATTGTCCTCCCCTTTTCAAGTAACGGTGTGGCGTTGTGCAGATCGATCATTCGCTCGCTTCACCCTCATTTCATTGAATTTTGACTTCTATGTAGGATTATCTTCTTTGAATTACTCCATCAATTGTTGCATCCATGACGAAAGCATCAAAATGATGTGAAAATGGGTGCGTACGCGACACGGAAGAGGTTCGAGCGGACTGCGCGCGCCGCGCATCCTCCCGCGTTCACCTGGTGGACCATATTCCGGCAACGGATTGATGGATTTTGATTTAAAAAATTGATCATTATTTATTACACAAAAAGGAACAACTTTTGTCATGAACATGTTCTTCTATTTGCAAATGTTTCCCATAAAAATAAAAAATCATCAAAAAAACCAGTTAATTTGTTTATAACTATTAATTGCACGCACTTACATAAAAAATACCACCGGATTCGGATTTCTCATACCCGAAAACATAAGAAAACACCTCAAAACCTTACCGCACTTGAAGTGCACACGGGAAGGGGGTATTGCGTGTGGACTAGAGATGAACTCAACCGGATTCACTTTCAGTTTCCTTCAAATGACGTCATACAACCCATTGAGATAAAAATTCATTCAATACTAAAATTTGAGCGATTGTATGACTCCATTCACTGAAAATATCCTTTAAATTCTTCTTTCAAATCTATTTAACCTTCATCATCACGTATGGTATAATACCGTGTAATGCACGAGCGAGAGAGTGCGATAAACGAGAGTACGGTGCACAAAAGCATCGACTCTTTTGTCACGCGCTCCAGCACTCGAACTTGGGCTATTACACGTTCACTTTGTCAAAGTACAAAATCTGTACGTGTTTTCGAGCAGGGAAAGCGTCCCAGTATTCTACTCTATGAATGCCAGACAAACTCGGATCATCATTTGCTTAGGCAGGAGGTAATGGTACTTACATGGTACAGTTATGGGCATGAATGCATGCTGTGTGATTAACAATGAGAGACAATTGATGCACTTCTGACGCAAATATTTTCCACAGGGAGACAAGAGTTGGAGAAAAATTATCTAGCGAATCTCGGTAAATTTTATCATTTACAGCGTCATATGAATTTTCGATCTTGTGAAATTGAATTCAATTACAATGGAAGCGTTCACTAAATTTCTCATTCATCTTAAAAACTCAAGAAAATTCGGTTTTTCATGTTAAATAATCATTGATTTTTCAATGAAAGCTTCAATTTCCAAACTCATCATGAAAATTGAACATCACATAAAATTCAATTTGCAATAGATTGAGAATTCAGAAAAGTTGTTGCCTGAATTTTCAAAATTTTCAGAGGTTTTTCAATGCCGTATGGACCTGAAAATCGAGAATTGCTTGAACATTCAAGAAATTAACTGATTCGTCAATAAAGAAACACAGAAATTTCATGTAGCTTTGTCGTCGTTGAAAATTTCAAGTTTTTTCACTTGAAATTTCAAGAGTAATTTTCTAACCGTGTGGTTAATCCCTATTTTTAGTGCAGAATTAGTAGTATGCCCAGAATTAGTAATTGGGAATAGATTCCTAAAAATCAGTGACATGTCCCTAGAAGCCAATGGCATATTCCAGAAAATAAAAAAAGATGTCTCTGTTATCCAGAAATGAATTTCTCCCCACGATTACTTGCTTCATTTGGTAATTTTTTTCCAACGTTTTCCTCCGTGCAGAGAGCACAAAAAATGTTGGCAAAAATAAAATTACGGTGAAATACGTGGGTTTCACTCTAATGAAAAAATAGCTTTGATTTAAAACATTTTTGATTCAACTAACGCATTGCAATTACAGTATTGGACAAAAAGGCTTTTTTAATCTCGCTCCATTCTCTCCGTTACATTTATCAAAATCACTCCAGGTTTTTCTTTTTTCTATCCTCTCCCTATTACTGTGAGTGCAGAAAAAAAAACATGGATTTTTAAAAATGTTATCTATTAACTGTACACGTTCCAGATGGAATCTTTTGCGCGCCAGGTGGAAAACACGAATATCAGGTTCACAGTGTACACTCTCTTCGCTATTGATTATGCCATACTACTGAAGGTACGAAAAATAAGAGAATGAGGTTTTCACTCACTGTCATACCTTCGTATATTCTCGCCAGGTCATCCTCGCAATGGCTGCTTACGTTTTGTTCCTGTCGCAATTCGGAGTAGACACCGTCGAATGAAAGGAACGAGTATCGCCGAGTATATAGCGGGGACTTGAATGAGTCGAGTGGGTGGATATACACAATGTCAAAATCAACTGGATCATGGAACGCAAATGGACTGTGGGAGGTCATTGTTTACCGAATGCTATACGCACGGGAATACACGATTGAGCAATATAAACCACATGCGGCGAGGGGTGAGGCACCGATGACTGGAGTGAGAATTCAAACAAACATCTGCACGAGTACTTATCCGGTCCAGGGAGCCCGATGAGGCTCATTCTCTCACATGGGGAAAACAATTTGCGTTCGTCATCTCTTCTCAAACGAATCTCGAAGAGGAATGGGTTTACAGCACGCGAGAGCTGTTTTAATACAACGTCGGGTAGAATTGACGGAATTTCCGTAACCGTGAGGAAATGAGAAATGAAAACACGGAATGAGACGGAAGTAACGAATGTGGAGAGAAAAATTTTGTAAAAATTGCTCTGACGTGGATGGTGAATGTAGAAAAATACATTTGGGGACGGGGAAGAATTGAGGAAGAATTATTGAAAAAATCAAGTAATTACAACGCAAATTTTCATGGTTTGTCTGTCTGCTCGATTTCAAGGGATAAATGTGGAGAGAATGCCTAATTTCCGCCGCATACTCGAAAACATTTCCTGACTGCTGTGTAATTTGTCCTGAAACGGTAAAATTTTATCAAAATTTCCCCGGGGCATAATTGTTATCTTATAATACGCAAAATTTCACTGTGAATTAACATTCGTTACTTGACATGGAGAAATTAAAATTTAATTCTATTCAAAACCTAAAAACTCTCTTGACTCAAAGTGATTCTTCTTAAACCCCATTTCCCTCCGTTAAATTTTCTGGATAATTTTCCCTTAATTTTACCCTCCGTGTCCTCTAATTTTCCCCCACATCTTCGAGATAATGTCTTATATAGGTACATTTTTCCCCGCGAATAAATCCTGCAATAAAGCAACCGCTTGAAGAAAATTTCGACAATGCACCTGGCGAATTGACTTCGCGTGCTCAACAAGAATAAGATAAAAGGAATCACGTATAAATAGCAGTGTTGAAAATTCAAAGGTACGACAATGCAGCGTGTGGTCACACAAAAACCAACAGAGTGTCGGCTTACCATCAAAAGGAAGCCACTCTTCCTTGAGAAGATCCCGTCTTCAGATAAGTGATCTCGAACTAATAGCTTACCCTTTGCGTAACGGATATACTCTTGTTTTCGACCTTTCCCTCTCAAGTTTCTTCCCATGAGATGAGGAATAAGTACTTGAGACTTATTACCACGGCGTTTTATCCTCTCCATCCCCCCTCCCTCTCTATGAAATAATATCCTCACCTCTTCTCCACCATTTTTCTTCCATCATGTTTGAGATGGTCGTCGACAGACCTAAGGAGACGATAAATCCACCGTAATTTTGAATAATCAATGGATTCTGTCTATTCATACGCATCGCGGGGCTTCAATCCATTGGCTTTTGTGCCAACATCATCAGCGATGATGTGCACCGCAGTGGTGTCCTAATATTATGCAATCTAGAGCATCTCAGAGAGAGAATTGGCGCCCACCAGGCATTCGTAGTCAGCGCCTGATGATGGTGGTGACCTAGCCGGGGCTGAGTGAACGTTACGCGAAATACAAGAAAGCACGATTATGTAATGACGCAAAAGGCAAAAGATCGGGGGAGGTGTATGGACGTTACGAATCAAGCGCACTATCCTGCCATACTGTTGATGATGTACGCTGCATTGCACCGACGCCGCTGCCGCCGCCTCTTTTTTCATTTCAACTGCATCTTCATAAGTTGCATCAGTCGGTGCCTGTGGCTGAAAATTTTATAAATCTACATTTTCTCAGCGTTTCAATTTATTTAACGTCTGATTGTTGTGATCCCGTGCCCTGCGAGAAACCTAGTTAATCGCGGAAAGAAATATACCTCAATTGAGAATATTTTATACTCGAATGGGGAATGGGTATTTCAATTCGAGAATGACTCTGGCGTATCAGGCCGGGTTGTACCAGGCCTCTCAAGTGTTACACAAGGGTCCGGCACTGAGTATCAGAGGATAAGGGTCAAAAAGCGGTGGTTAAAAATGAGGGTCGGAATATTAGAGTCAGAAACCGAGGGTCAGAGTATAAAAGTAAAAAAAGGGGATGTCAGGCAATGAGGATCTAAATATAAGGATTAAAAATGGTGATCAAAAACAATATATGGCACATTTCAATCATTTCCAACATTTCCGCACTTATCGATAGCCTGTTAGAAATTTTTTGAAATTTCATGGAAGATATTACAGTAAATCTCACGAGAGTGACATTGAATCGAATTTAGGGGAAAAATGGTTATGAAATTTCAAGTTTCGAGTAGAATTCACGGAAATTCATGAGTTTTCAGTGGGAGTAAGATGGAAATTTCACAACTTGATAGAATTTTCAGTGGAACATGAATATTCAGAAACAAAATCACATTAATTTTCAATTTTTCCCTGAATTTTCCGATTTTTCTAAATGCGCTCAGAATAATTGAACAGCAAAATCAAGTATTTTATTGATTCTTGGATCATTTGAACAAAAAATCATTGGAATGTTTGATTTTTCAATGACAAAATTTCCTGAAATTTCAGTGAAACTTGAACACGATAAAAATTTTCGGAATTTGGCACGGAAAATTCAGACGTCGTCCTAAATTTTTAGACCTTCAACTCAATTAGGAAGTGAGATATGAGCAATTTCTGTATATAATATTCCGACACTGCCTGATGCTTACATTACACGTAAGAGGGCTCGGTACAACCCAGCCTAATATTGAAGAATCATCCTGAAATTCAAATACTCATGCCCCATTCGAGTACAAAATATACTTAAAGCAAGCATATTATATACTCGAATTAAGAATAATATACTTGAATCAAGTATATTTTATTCTCGGCTCAGATTTATGCATATACTGGATTCCGGTATAAAATATACTCAATTCAGGTATCTGTTTTTTCCGTGATCATTTTCGTTCTTAATTGATGGAGCGTTAGCGATTACGAAAAGTGTTCCCTTGAGAAATATGTAAATCTTTCATAATGATTCGAATGATATTTTGTGTGGAAATAAATCAATCCCCAGTGATAGATTAATAAAAACTGTATATCAAATGCCGTTATGATTTCGTCATAAAAAGAACGTCCAGATCATTTTTTTTCTCCTCGATCCCATCAATTCAACGGAAACGATTGCATTAAACATGTATCCATGAATGGATGAATACTTATAACTGTTGAAGAATTTCCCGTCTGATTTTCCAATGGGAGCTTTCAATTAAATTCTCGAGAAAAAAGTATATTCATCATTCTCCATTTTGCCATTCATTAATAATCCTGAAGCATTTTATCGAATGAACACTCACCCGAAGGAGCAAAAGAAACCCACTGGATCAATGCTGATGAGCGAAAAAAGTCGAAAAAACAAAATTATCTGGAAAAAATTCAGAAGGGAGAGAGTTCTTGAAGGGCTCATTAGAAAGCTTCCATCACAACTGAATTCTATTTGAACTTTACGAGCCCGAGATTATAAGAGGGTTACTTCTCCTGTGAATAATAATACCCTCGAGACTGCTTGCAGGCCACGCTTTAAATTAATAACTCAATAAGAATTCAACGGCTTCTGGACGCTGGGTCTCCCTGAAACTACGGAGTCAACGATCTTCAACTGTTGAATACCAGCGTTAAAACCGCGAGAAAAAAAGCACCCAAAAAGGGGAAGAAAGGGAAACACATTTTGCTGAAGTACATTTCACCGCCGGGTGTTTTAATTCTCCTCTGTCTTAGTCCTCCTCCTCGAGAACTACCCGGGAGGTACAGCCAAGGAGCTTTTTACTTCGGCGATTTATGCCAAGCGTTCATAAATCTAGAATCCCAAGTACGACGTTTGAATGCAAGTACCAAAGGGGCCCCTCCGTTCGATTACAATTCTAATTGGAGAAATGAAGAAAACCCATTCAACTCCAGGGAGTCTGGAAAACTCACTAGTTCAATAATAATTACAGAAAGAAAGAGGGTGAAGAAAAATATGAGGAGGAAAAATTCTTGTTTCAAGTGCACTCGAGAGAAAGTTAAAATCGAATGAGCCCCTGCAATAATATTTTCAATCGAACTGCGGATAATAATAATGAATGATGAAAGACTTATCGAATGAGAGTTGCCATAATCAATCCAACATTGGCAAACTATCGCTCCAAGTCTGATTAAAACATTGATTGCTCGTAAGGAAGATGTTAGACCTGCAAAACTATTGCAATACCCCGGGGGACAATGATTTATTGGAATCGTGCTGCACAGGGTTACGCTGGGTCTCTGTACGCGTGACTCGTCACGCACTCGTCCGGTGTAGAGGGGCGAGGGGCCGGAGGGGGGTATGGGCCACCTACTCTCGCGTGATATCACGGAAACACAGCGGGGAAACACACCGTATACAATACATTTCTACGCTGTACGTGTTGCTCACATACTGGCGATTCATGAAGCACAACATATTAAGCTTGTCCCCGTGTCGCTATGAATTTATAACGATTTATATGCACCACGTTGGGGCAAATCTCCCCCTGTTTCCATTCCCCCTTCCCCTGAAAACACGAATTACTCATCCTACTGGAGGTTTTGCACACGAGGAAAGCGTGAATGTAACCTCTGCCACTGGGATCTCTCGCTGAATCATTGGATCAACAGACAGAGGGACGCAAGTCCTGGTGTATTTGCCGGGCCCTTACGGCCTTTTGGTGTTAATGGAAATGATACAAATTGGAGTGCAATCTCTCTCCTGCTACCAAATTCAATCATGAACATCGTTCGATGACCAATTAACAACTGCCAATAC